AGGGGCAGATGTGTCCAGGCCCACAGTGCCAACAGCAGCATCCCGTCTGGGTTGGTTCCTGGAGCTCCCGCCACCCAGGCTCCTTGGTTTCTGCCCTTTTTTCTCTGCCAGCTGTTCTGGCCTTCCTGTTGCTGTTGTGAGCTACTGGGAGCTTTTCAATAAATTCCTTTTCTTCTTGAGTCGGCCAGAGTCGTTGGCTGTTTTTTGCAACGAAGAACCTTAACACATGCATCCGTTCACTGGTTTGAAGATGACGCATTCTGTTTGTTCTACTAGTGGTTATCTTTATACGTTTCTAAGATGAGCAGATATTATCACTGTTTGTTAAAAGCCCAAACTACAGTAATACTTCTTAATCTTCATTCTCTCTCACTGTTTTTAAAACTAGCTTTTTTTTTTTTTTCCAAGGCAAGAAAAGACGAGGACAGATTTAAGGCATTTGATCCTAGAAACATATGTACATTTTTCTAACAGCCTAAACCTCTTCAGCACAAGAAAAGAACCTGAGTGCGACAAAGCAGTAGGGTACAGAGGTGGTGAGCAAGGCCTCTGGAGTCAGGCCCCCTGGGTTTGAATCTCGGCTTAGCAGCTAATTAGCCTTAAAAGTCAGAATGGCCTTAGGCCAAAGTCAGACTGGACTGAAAGGTATTGATATTTCTAAACAAAGAATGTGCAACCTCCCTGCGCACAAATAAGAGAACTCACAGGCTAAGAAGACAGCATCCTTCCAAACAGTGTTCAGGTTCCTAAATCTACAAGGTTTAGTGTGAGGATGGTAGTTACCCTCTCAGGTAAATGTCCCTTTGTGTGACCTCGTTTAATGCAGTCCCCTAATCCTCACCCTCTTTCATGCTTCTGCACAGGGCAGGGAAGGACAACTAGGGGGCTGTTTAGGAACAGAGGCCCAAGGCCCAGGTGAGGGATTCATACCAATTCTTTTTTTTTTTTTTTAATGTTTATTTTTGAAAGAGAGAGAGAGAGAGAGCTAGCGTGAGGAAAACAAGCTGGGGAGGGGCGGGGTGGGGGTGGGGGACCGAGGATCCAAAGCAGGCTCTGTGCTGACAGTAGATAGCCCCCAGGTGAGGGATTCATGGAAGGCTGCACCTGGCTGGGTAAGAGTCCCCTGGCTCAGGATAAGTGGCCACAGGCTGGGGCTAGACTGGAAGGCCTGGAAGCTGCTACCACATTCTCTGGAACATCTATAAGAGGAGCGGGATCTTTTTATCTATTATTCAAGTGTCTCCAGCAGCATGAAAGCAATGTGGGCATCATTCATCTAGCACCACGTGCCAGCCATTGTACGGGGGTAGGACGGGGCATACAAACCTACTGGCCTAGAAGTGCTCTGACAGCTGGAACTCGGGGCGGGGCGGCACCGAAGGGGGCACCTGCCTCAGTGGAGGGAAGGCGTCCAGGAGGAAGTGATGCTGCTCAAGACTCAAAGGCGGGGGAGAAGGAGTCTGACTGGCCTCTGAGCTTTGGCCAGGAGAGGCAGACCTTCTCTTATGACAATTCCACCAAAACTGAATCCAGGGGAGGAAGGGGGGGACCCTAGAGAGAATGCAGGCTGTCAGGAGGAGGAAGGGACACCGGGAGGCAAAAACACAGCAAAGCAGACTGCGCTCCACATTCACGGCTTTCACTCTGCGCACTTCCCTGGCTGCCCTTCCTGGAATTTGGATTTGGAATCTTCCCGCCAGTCGTTTTCCCTGGCTGGTTTACCTCATTAGACATGCATAGGCAGGATTTCTTTTGTTTCTATTTTAGTCAATTTTAAACAATGAAGTATACAGAATGAAAATGATACTTCTGTTCCCAACACCTACATAAACCACTGTTAGGCTCTTGGCAATTTGATTCCTATCATGTCCCCCACACATATCCCCTCCCCCCATAATGAATAATAGATTATTTTCAATCATTTGCTTTTCAAAACAAACTGCCTAGAACCATCAGGTAGAAGATTAATGGTTACAATGGGTGATGAAGCTGACAACACCCGAACAGTCTGATCGATTTTAACTTCGCTAAAGTGGGACAACCAGACCCTAAGTGCCTCCTAGAGGAAGCCAAGAGAATTACACGCCACCAACCATGAAGTCTTCCTGCAAAAAACCCTGAGCCTTAATGTAACGGAGCCTCCAGATCTAACTACCAGTTTAAAAGAACACTGAGGTTGGACGAATATGTTCAAGATACCATGAAGAGGGGCGCCTGGGTGGCTCAGTCGGTTGAGCATCCGGTTTTGACTCAGGCCATGATCTCATGGTTCGTTGAGTTTGAGTCCCACATTAGGCTTTGCACTGACACAACGCAGAGCCTGCTTCAGATCCTCTGTTCCCCTCTCTCTGCCGCTTCCCCACTCTCTCAAGTGCTCACTCTCAAAAATAAACATTAAAGAAAAAAAAGATACCTTAAAGGTGTCATCCAAATCCAGAATGAGGTCAAATTCTATAGGACAAATGACTTGGTTTCTTCAATAAATAGATAGCACTTAAAAGAGGTTTTCTATTAAAGATTTTAAATGATTTGAGACAATAACAACCAAATGGAATGTGTAGAAACTTTTGAATCTTAATTCAAGCAAACCAACAGTAAGAAGGCATTTTGGAGACAGAAAATTGAACACAGACTAGCTATTAACTGGTATCAAGCCAATATCACGTTAATGTACATAATAAAGTGTTTATAGGTAGCATGATAGGATGCCTAGGATTCACATTAAAATGCTCAAGTAAAAAAAAATGAAGGGAAGAAGGGGGAAAGTAAGGCAGGGAATAGTTACGAAAAATTGGGCAAGAATATTGAAGTTTTGAACCTGGGTGATGGGTAAAAGTGGATTCATTTTTTATTCTATTTAATGTATGTTTGGAAATGTTCATAATAAAATCCTTTTTTTCTTTAATTTAAACTTTTTTTTAATGTTTTATTTATTTTTAAGACAGAGAGAGACAGAGCATGAGTGGGGATGGGGCAGAGAGAGGGAGACACAGAATCTGAAGCAGGCTCCAGGCTCTGAGCTATCAGCACAGAGCCCGATGCAGGGTTTGAACTCACAAACCTCAAGATCATCACATGAGCCAAAGTCGGACGCTTAACCGACTGAGCCACCCAGGTTCCCCAATGTGTGAAATCTTTATTGCAAACTTAAAAAGAATTTTATTATGGGGGCACCTGGGAGGCTCAGTCAGTTGAGTGTCCGACTTCGGCTCAGGTCATGATCTCACAGTTCATGAGTTCAAGCCACACACCGGGCTCTCTGCTGACAGCACAGAGCCTGCTTCGGATCCTGTCTCCCTCTCTGCTTTTCCCCTTCTTGTGCTCTCTCTTAAAAATAAACATTAAGAAATCTTTTTAAAAATTCACGTCTATCAGTGTGACTGCTTCTTTATTATTTAGATACCTATAAGTGGAATTATTAAATATAAGGAATGAGAATTTTTACCTTGATTGGAAATTGACAAAGTTCTCTGTGAGTGATTGTAATGAGGGGGTTCAGGGCACACTATCCCGAAGTATGGCACCTTGGCATATTGAATATTTTAAGCTAAATGAATTTGAACAAAGCAGGTGCAGGGAGGACTCTGAGGCAAAGGTACCCTCCCTGTATGCGGAAGAAAGGAGCACCCTTTTCTCCAAGACACCATGAGGAATATGAACCAACAGGCCTTGCTGTTTTCTCTGGTTTCCCACACTGAGCTCATACTCCTTTGTCCCATTCTGTGTTCCCACAAGTCTCCACTCTTCATCAAAAGCATAAAACACTCAGGCTTAACCACTTCTTCAGGTCTTCCTTTTGAAGGCTCCCGTGTTACATAAAACTTAGGATGAAGAAACTTACATGCTTTTCTCTTGTTTATCTCTTTTGTCCCCCAACCCAGAATTTAGGAGGATAGAGCAAAAAAAAAAAAAAAAAAGTATTTTCTTCCCTACAGTAGCAATTTGCCAGTTTCCCACAATCCTAAAATACTGCCCAAAATACTGTTTGAGGTTTTAAATTCTGTTAATCTGACAGATACAAATGGTATCTTATTAAATTGTATTTTCCTGACGATTGTATGGTCGAGCACGGTTTCACTCTTTTGTGCTACTTAAACGTCTTCTGAAAATTGCTTTTCGTATCCTTTGTCCATTTTTGTCTTTTATTAATATGTCTCTTATTACTGATTTAAAACAAAATTTTAAGTGAACTCTCTACCACATGTGGTGTTGAAAGTCACAACCCCCAAGATCAAGAGTCTCATGCTGCACGGACTGAGCTACCCAGGCACCCCTCTTATTCCTGATTTTAATAAGAATGCTTTTTACTTAGCGTCATCACATCTTTCACTTTTACACATAGGCATTATTTCAAATGATATGGTATTTTATTAATAACACCTAAATCACAGTTTCGAGAAGTCCATGATAAAATGTGTGAAAAGCAACTATGCCGGGCACAAAACAGGTATTGATGATTTGGGCTAGAACCATCACCAACGTCACTGGCGGCGTGGCGGCGGTGCCCGGGGTCGAGAGACCGCCCCCCAATCCCTCCCGTCGGGTCGCAGCCTCTGATGCCCTGCGCCTCTCTCGGCTACGGGCAGGTGGCGGCCTCACCGGGTTAACTGAGCGCCTGGAACCTATCTACCCTTGCTCACGAGCGGGCAACGAGTGGCTGCTTTTATGACTGCCATTCACTTTCTCCGGACCCACCGACAAGGGTGTACCGGGACGTGGGACCACCCGCCAGGCCCCCAAACCTAACAGGACTTGCACCTTCTACTCCGCCAACCTGAACCGAACACCCAACCGCCCACGAAAACCGACGAAAACCGACCAAGATGTCCGCCCTGTGCGCAGGCGCAGCATTGATGGCCCTGACTCGAGACCCCGCCCCCAGGCTCGCGCTCTCAGTCTCCTCCTGGGGCCCGCGTCTCGGATTGGCCCAGAGACTGTGCGGGCTCTGATTGGCCGACGCGGAGGCACCAGGGCTCCGTCTCCTTCCGGAGAGCGTTCAGCACGGGTCTAGAGTCCTGGGCGGCCGCTGGGAGGGCGCTGCAGATCTGCTGGCGCCAGGGGCTTCCTGCTCGGCTCTGCAGTGCGCGGTGGCTCGCTGGGCCCTGGGTGGGCGGGGCCGCACCCCCGCAGTCGCCTGTAAAGGAGGGACCAGACTGTGCGGGTTAACTTGAGAAGTGGCGGCTCTAGGTTCTGGTGCGAGACTCCTTATTTGTGTTGTAAATTTGGACGGAGGTAGAGATGGACGCTGCTCTCCTTAACACTGAGTTCTCAGTCTGGAAAGGTAAAGACATTTGAACTGTAGGTACTGATTTTTTACCTGTATGGGGGCTTTATTTTGGCCCGGTGTGCCTTCATTTGAGCAGTTGGTAGCGGAATTAATTTTTAAAAACATCGAAATTATTTGAAAACGCGTGGTGAAGGGAGCCGATGAGAGGGAAAGGGAGGAATTCTTGGAAGCTTGCCTAATACCTTGAGGAGTTACCATTTCTAGGTTTTGGCAGAAGTCACGGTATGGGACATCTGACCTACAGACATTTACCAAAAATTATCTTTTTCGATATATTTTGTTACTCCCCAGTGTGAGCAAAATATTCCAAATATAACTAACTTTAGGATAGGGCCTAATTTTATTACAAGTAGAATTCTTACAAATAGAATTTATTACAAATTGAAACTTATGGCAGATACTAGAGGCAAAACGTACATAGCATGGAATGTCAAAGGCCCTGTGATGAGCCTAATAATCTTGTCCATTTTAAGCAGGAAAAAAAGCAAGATGAACTGAAGAAAATGAGTTTTTTTCCAAAGGAGATAGAATATGGGGAAGATGAGATGTCAGACGATGGAAGTAGACATGAGGTAATTATATAAACAGCACGTAGCATAATGACTTACTACTGTCAGAATCCAGAGTAAAAGAGCTAAACTGCCTTGTTTAATCTCAAAAGTGGTATCCTGAACACTCTCTGACTAGTTTCACAAGCCCACCCTCTAGACTCAGTGCTAAAATCTGACAGTCACTTTTAGAAAAAAAAATTACAGACCACTCCCATGAGCATAGATGCAGAAATTCCAAACAGAATCTTATCGAGTCAACTACCCGTGTCCTGTAAAAAGAATAATGATACATTGTGAGAAGTGAGGTTTGTTTCGGGGGAATGCAAAAGTGTTTTTTGTTTGAAAAGTGATATTGGTTGCCTGGAAATACTGGCTTGAAAGGAAATCTCTTGATTTGTCAGACTGCCCCATTAAATTTCTTTAGTTTGTATGCCCGCCAAACATCTCTGTTTCCATATTTATTCTTTTGACAAATGTTTAGGTCCCTACTACATTCTCGGCTTCTGGCTGGGAGCCTCTGTATTAGCATTTGAATATGGACGGGTTTAAGTTAAGTCCTGAAAGAACTGAGGTGGATGAGTGAGGACACAGCTAATGAATAGTGAATGTTTCATGTCTGCAGCCACCATGCTCGGGCTTAATGCATTAAGTGACCATATTAGGCAGGTGGCATCAGCCCCATTTTATAGATGGGAAAACAGATTTAGCCATTAACTAACTTGCCCATGGTTTTAGAACTAATAAGCGACACAGCCAGGATTATCTATGGTTCTGCAGAATCCAAAGCCCTTACCCCTTCCCAGCTCATTTTTTTTGTCTTCCCCCCAAGCATTCGTTGTAAGAGGCAGTCAACAATCATTTATTGTCCACTTTGAGCAACCAGTTGTATAAAAGAAACTTTCCTCAACCCTATTCAGTCTAGTAGTTGTTTTAATCAGTCAAAAGTAAATTATCCACACATACCGTTTGATTTTAATTTAAAACATTAAATATATATTCATTTAGCAATCCTTTGATGTGGGACTAAGGTTTTGTCTTTGACTTTGGGTTCAGCATTGGAATAATTTGTCTTCCCTGTGCAAAGTACACCATAAGTGCATCTTCTGTAATTTGAAGTTTTTTTTTTAAGTTTATTTTTATTTATTTTGAGAGACAGCGCGAGTGGGGGAGGGGCAGAGAGAGAGGGAGAGGGAGACAGAATCCCAAGCAGACTCTGCACTGTCAGCACAGAGCCAGATGTGGAGCTTGAACTCTGTGAGATCATGACCTGAGCTGAAATCAAGAGTCAGACACTTAACTGACTGAGCCACCCAGACGCCCTGAAGTTTGTTGCTTTTTTTATTAATTTTTTTTAAATGCTTATTTTATTTTTGAGAAGGAGAGACAGCATGAGCAGGGAAGGGGCAGAGAGAGAGGGAGACACAGAATCTGAAGCAGGCTCCAGGCTCTGAGCTGTCAGCACAGAGCCTGACGCGGGGCTCAAACTCACGAACCTTGAGATCATGACCTGAGCCAAAGTCGGATGCTTAACCGACTGAGCCACCCAGGTGCCCCAAGTTTGTTTCTTTAGAGCAAAGAAAACCAGAAAGACTACTAATAAAGCAATTTGAATACTCCTACATATTTACCATTTTTTCCATCCTTTTATGGCTGCTCACCCACACCTAACCTGACTACAGGTTTTTAAGCTTTATCTAATATGCCCAAAGCATTCAACTTGGTTTTCATAGATTTAGTAACTTACTTTTTGCATGATTGGTTTGTATGATTTGGTTATGTAATTGAAACTGCAAATACGATGGTCACTTGCAGGTTTGGAACAAATGCAATTGATGCTTTTTAAGGATATACTTTAGCCATATGGAACAGAAATGCCCGGGTGTATTTTGAGTACTATAGAGGAACCTGCTAGCCACACATGCTTGGCATTTCATGGATGGCAAGTTAGTAAGTCCTGTTTGGAATTGAGACTGTCATTTAATCTAGCCATAGATATGTTATATGATGGTTAGACACAGTTAAGAGAACATCTAATGTATTATGATGGTCACTATACATTGCATTAGCTTTCCATACCGATCAGCCAGAAAGTTCTTGGTGAATGCAACTTTTTATATTATTTTATTTTTTTAATTTTATTTTTTGTTTTTTAAAATTTACATCCAAATTAGTTAGCATATAGTGCAACAATGACTTCAGGAGTAGCTTCCTTAGTGCCCCTTACCCATTTAGCCCATCCTCCCTCCCTCAACCCCTCCCGTAACCCTCAGTTTGTTCTCCATATTTATGAATCTCTTCTGGTTTGTCCCCCTCCCTGTTTTTATATTATCTTTGTTTCCCTTCCCTTATGTTCATCTGTTTTGTCTCTTAAAGTCCTCATGTGAGTGAAGTCATATGATTTTTGTCTTTCTCTGACTAATTTTGCTTAGCAGAATACCCTCTAGTTCCATACACGTGGTTGCCAATGACAAGATTTCATTCTTTTTGATTGCCGAGTAATACTCCATTGTATATATATACCACATCTTCTTTATCCATTCATCCATAGATGGACATTTGGGTTCTTTCCATACTTTGGCTATTGTTGATAGTGCTGCTATAAACATGGGGTGCATGTGTCCCTTCGAAACAGCACACCTGTATCCCGTGGATAAATGCCTAGTAGTGCAATCGCTGGGTTGTAGGGTAGTTCTGTTTTTAGTTTTTTGATGAACCTCCATACTGTTTTCCAGAGTGGCTGCACCAGCTTGCATTCCCATTGGTGAATGCAACTTTTGCTTTGGAACTCAGACTCTGATAGCTTAGAGGAAAACAGGAGTAGTCACATAATATTTTTCTTAGGCTGATAAGCATGTGATGTGGTTCTCGACTGTTCACACTGGTCACCCTTGGTCATTAAAGTGTGGTTCTTATAATCCTTGATTAGTGCAGCATGTAGTAATACTGTTGCAATTAGATGAACTTTTAAGGTAACCAGAACCTAAAGCTGGCTCATTGAAATTATTTCATTAAAACCCTCATCTTTTGGGACACCTGGCTGGCTCAGTAGAGCATGTGACTCTTGATCTCTGGGTTGTAAGTTCGAGCTCCACGTTGGGTATAGAGATTACTAAAAATGAATAGATTAAAAAAATAAATAAATAAAACCCTAATCTCTTTCACCTAACTTCCCTGATCCCACATCATTACCATCCCAGATGCACTGGTCCCCCTCATCTGCTTGCCTATAAATTGTGTTCATAATCAGTAATGCTAATCACATGTACTTATCTCTTCCTATGATGTGGATTGAGGGCTATATATATATATATATACACCAGTTTGCTGGTGTTGCCTTAATAAAATATCACAGACTGGGTGGCTGAACAGCAGAAGTTTATTTGCTCACAGTTCTGAAAACTGGAAGTTGAAGATCAAGCTGTTGGCGGGTTTGGTCTTCTGAAGCCTCTCTCCTTGGCTTGTAAATGTCTGCTTTCTCAGTGTTTATTCACGTAGTCATTCATCTGTCATCTGTGGCCTAATCTCTTATAAGGACAGCAGTCATATTGGATTAGGGCCAGTGTAACAACCCCATTTTAACTTAATTACTTCTTTAAAGGCCTGTCTCCAGATACAGTAATATTCTTTTTTTTTTTTTTTAACTTTTTAACATTTATTATTTTTTTTTTTTAATTTTTTTTCAACGTTTATTTATTTTTGGGACAGAGAGAGACAGAGCATGAACGGGGGAGGGGCAGAGAGAGAGGGAGACACAGAATCGGAAACAGGCTCCAGGCTGTGAGCCATCAGCCCAGAGCCCGATGCGGGGCTCGAACTCCCGGACCGCGAGATCGTGACCTGGCTGAAGTCGGACGCTTAACCGACTGCGCCACCCAGGCGCCCCTAACATTTATTTATTTTTGAGAGACAGAGCATGAGTGGAGGTGGGGCAGAGAGAGAGGGAGACACAGAATCTGAAGCAGGCTCCAGGCTCTGAGCTGTCAGCATAGAGCCCAACACAGGACTTGAACCCACAGACCGTGAGATCATGACCTGAGCCAAAGGCGGATGCTTAACCGACTGAGCCACCCAGGCGCTCTCAGTAATATGTTTAGATACTGGGGATTAGGACTTTGACATATGAATTTTAGTGGGATATAGTTCAGCCCATAACACCAGTAATGCCTTCCCTGTATTATGACATGGTTCTAGTTAGCACTGGCAAGATAAAGACAGTGCTTCTATTAATTGCCCATCTTTTTTTTTTTTTTTTTTTTTAATTTTTTTTTTT